GCTTCATGTAATACTTTTCAGTTTTTGCTACGTTGCATGATAATTCATCCTGGCTTTTCTCACCTTCTTCAATTTATTGCATTCTTTAAAACAGTCTTATTTTCAGCTCTCAAGGAGTCTCTGATTCTGCTCTCCTTTCTAGGAAGATGTCTCAGGAGCCATATCACAGCTGTCCCTTGGGGAGGGCCCACCTCCAGCACAGCCTGTTGTGTCCTCAGAAGAACGGAAGGAGCGGTGGGAACAGGGCCAGGCTGATTACATGGGAGCAGATTCCTTTGACAACATCAAGAGAAAACTTGACACTTACCTCCAATAGAAACACTGCCATTTTCCTGTGGACGCATCCCTTCACAGGCACTTACTTCTGATACTTAGTTTTTAGAGCTGGGTTAAGGAAGATCTGTTACAGTTGCTAGAGGCTTTCACTGAAATTCATCAGATGGGGAGCTTTATGTAGGAGAGGTGAGGACTGGGCAGAAGCTGTGAAATAACAATTCTGTTACATAGACAGTGTTTTATAACCCTAGCCTTATTCAGCTGATGTTTCAGATATTCTCAGTTATGCCGATTGCCAAGTTATGTGGTAAAGGAAACTCAACCATAAACTATTAAGATGGCTGTATCAGCTCCTCAGATGTGCTGAGCCTGTTGCTCAGTCTCCCTTCAGAATGGGGACATGCTGTCGGCCTCTTGCTTGCTTGTTGTGCCCTTCACAAGTCCTGCATTTTAGGCTTCCCTGGGGCTGCCAGAGCGACTGTAACCCTGCTTTCAGGTAAAGACAGCCCACAGTGACCCTCTGCTGAGTGGATGCATAAGCGTACCCACAGGTGACATCAACCCACTGTATTTACTGGTCTTAGCATCCGGCAGCGTTCACCAGCTTTCTGTGTACAGTGGGGCAACACGTGCAGTTCTGGGTATCTGAAAACAGTAGTGTGTTCTCTGGTTACCTGCAGTGGCACCTTGTATGAAAAATAAAGACTTATTGCCATAGCTTGGTTGTCTAATTAAATTAAGGATTCCTACTCCCCTTGAAAAAAACATGTAGTAGGGAATATTTTTCATAATTCGTAGAATTTGTGTTTTTAAAACCAGTGTTGAAAGCTAACACTGGAATATATGCTTTAAAAACTGGGTTCCAGGTAGCTGAAGATAATTTAATCTAGTGTTCTCCAGTGATGGTGATGGATCTGACAGATGAAAGTGAGATCATTTGTTTACTCTGTCACCCATGTTGCATCTCCATATTAAGTATTTCAGATTTTAGAATATTGTAACCTTAAAACCCTCATAGGTTCATTGTCAGTCCCTGAACATACTCAGTCTTTCAGGACTGTTAGAATCAATATTGGACCCAATGTCTTCTAGTCCTTTTATTCATGACTGAAAATGGTAGAAATCTAAAGCATATATATTAAATGCACAGATGATTCTAGGTTGCATGGATGG